CTATATACGTTATATATTTCTATCTGTATGCCGTTAGGCAAAGTTGTATAAGGTGTTGTCTTAGCCACTTAATAGTTGACTCTGTCATTCAAGAAACACGTTTGTGTTATTTCAACCAGTCAATTCTTAAATAAATTCAGTTAGTCATTTTTATATTTCCTGTTGTGTTATTAAAATTAACAAAATACGCAATTTTTGATTATCCTGTATTTAAATAATTGGACTGGAAAGTGGTTAATTGATTTATATAATAAGGTGTGAGTATACTTTTGCATATTCTTTTCCTAAGAGGATATTTTATGCTATATATAAAAATTTACTTCCCTTGAAAAGCCATATTTTCATTCCTATTTTTTCAGTGGAAATAAACTTGGATATTACCAAAATGTTCGCAGTTCTGTATTGCAATACTAGTTAGACATTCTTGATCTGAAAATCTAAAACATGAAGTGTTCCAAACTGTAAATAGTTTTGATCACTGGCATGATGCCACAAGTGAAAAATTCCATACCTGGCCTTATGTGATGGATTACAGTCAAAATTAAACCATTGTGTAAAATTACCTTCAGGCCTTGTGTGTAAAGTGTACATGAAATATAAATGAATTTCATGTTTAGATTTGAGTCTCATCCCTAAAGTAGCTCATCATGTATACATACAGATATTCCTGACTCTTTTTAAAAACTACTAAATTAGAAGTATTTTTGTTGCCAAGCATTTTAAATAAAAGGATGCTCAAGCTGTATTTTCAAAGTTTAATAGAGTAAGATTATTTCAAAGTATGATGGTTTACTTTATATCTGCTCAGCATTAGTATAAGTTTTGATTCTTTTTTTCATGAGAAAACTGAATGTAGTTATTAAAATGCTAGGGGAGAAAAACCACTTCTAAGTTCCAAGAGCTAAAAAAAAATAGCCAATCTTACTGAAAATTGTTTATGTTGCTAACATTTGGCTATCTTGGAAATTGTTATGCCAAAAAGTACAAAGAAATAGCTGTAGGAAAACAAAGTGTATCTTCTAAATATAGTTAAATAAAAATAAGCACCTATAAGAAATGGACCTTTTTGTTTTTAATTAGTACTTTGCAATTTCACTAATTACAGTGACAAATATAGAATGTAAAGGTACTGATTTTGTGATTTTCAGTTTCCTTGGAATATTAACCATATTATGTATATTGTTAACATACGATCATGTGTTATTTTGACTATTCCATTGTTGTGCACACTGATATTTTATTCCAGACCATAATAAATTACAGTTTGATAGGGAAAATCTGAAAATGTCATTATAGTTTATTAGTCACCTTCTTTTAATTTGAATGTCAGCTAGATTTTTTCCTTCTGTCTGTCCTGAAAGGAAATTTGTTTATATTTGCCAAATCATACTTCATTCTCTTAAACTTACACCAGTATCTTCGGTAGATTTTAAAGCATTACCTGTAAGATAGTTATTTATTACTACATTGCCTGTCAGTATTACTATCTTTAGAATAATTTATCTTAATTTTTTTTTCCATTTTATCTTGATGCCTCTTCAAGAAATAGAATATTATCTCTTCCCTAAATTTGCCTCTTCAGTTTGGATTGACCCTTGGGACTTGACATTGCAAGTGTTTACCCATTTACTCAGAGAATTAGCAAAGTTTGTGTGAACAATTAAGTTTTTACTACATTAGGTCCCAGGGTGCTTTCAGGTGCCTGGGCCTTAGACTCACTCACTGATCATACTTTTCAGTATTTTTAGGAATACAAAGTTAAGAGGGCATATGTGGGGACAGATTTTGTTTGTTTTCTTAGATGTTTGGTAATAGTATTCAGCTAGCTTTTCTGTCTTCTTGGTATTTGTTAATAGTAATTTCATGGTTCTTTTGTTCCTTTGTATCAGAGAAATCTATATAAAAATATATTTGCCAGAATTCTGTATTAGTTAGTGGATATCATATTTTTCATTTTTGTCAGCATTGCTTTTTTTGCACACTTTATGTATTTTCCATTTGTAGGGGCTCATTCATGAGAAAAGCTTTTATTTCCATTACCCCTCCTTTATAAAAAGACATACATGTTGAATTATCACATTTGTCAGACGTTTGAGTATAATAGAATTGATTGTTGCCACAGTAGGCTCAGAATTAAAACTTTAACACATTTAATCCTTGAGCTTCTATTATCTTGATTTTGTATTTTTTCTTATTGTAAGTTAGCCAGTACATTTCATTTTGAACTGTCTTTAGTAGTATCTTTTATACATTAATAACTTGTCGTTATCCTATAGAAAAGTTTCTTGGTTGATAACCTAGAATTCATTGTGGTCGTTAGTTTTCTTTTTATTGTCTTTAAATTTCTATCAACATGTAAATGTGTTGTTTATTCCACTTGTGATTGAAATTTCTAACATTAAAATATATGTTGAAACTTCAGTGTCACATAATTTATTATAGAAAATGAATCTCTATAAGGTAAGCTGTCCTAGATTTCACTCAAGCACTGAACATTTTCCTAAAGTATGAGTTGTAACTACTTGAGTGTTCCAAGAATTATTACTGACTCTTGTTACAGTATAAATGCATCAGAGTAGTCTGTAAGAAAGATCCTAAGATTAGGATCTTTTTATGTACTGGTTTTTCATCTCTAGGGGAATTATTTCTTGATTATCCATGTTCATAGAAGATTTATAATTGCATGTCTGCATTTCTACTTCTTGGTTTAGGAGTATACTGTGTGCTTTTCTTTGTACCAGAATTGTATTAATTATTTATCTTTGATTTGACTTTCAAGTTAGTTGCATATTCCTAACATGTTGGGAAATTGTTTTCCCTGATTGTTGGGAAAACCAGTGTAGCACTGAAAACTGATTGTAGACAGATCTAAAATGGGACAATTGATGTGAACAAAACTCAGGTGATTTTATATGCATAGGATTATGATTCAGATAGATTTTGTAGGAAAATTGGTAATGTTTATGAGGAATATCAATATTCTGAATAAAGATTTCTTTACAAAATTAAAATTTGAAGTTTACTGTGAAATTTATATGTTACGTACTGATTGCTGTCATTTTTCAGATGACTTTATTTATGGCAGTCCTGATTACTTTGTGTTTTTACACTATGTTTATTTTGTTGAAAAATGTACAGTAATATTTAAAAATCATGCAGAATACACCAGTTAAGTGTTGTTAGACCACTGTTTACATTTCTCCCAGAGGACTGACTTTAACTTAGTTTATTGAACACAAAATTTGTATGGCCTGAATTTAAAAAAAAAAAATAGGGTAATTGATATATAAGGTAGTTAAAATCAATGATTTGTTTTCCTTAGTGAGTAAAAGTTAAACTATATGCATTATTGAATTATATTAATGAATAGTAGTGAATTATAAATACACCATCTGAATGTATTTGGAGAGTATGGAATATACACAGTGTCAAAAAAATTCAGTGAATGTTTACATTAAAAAAAGTTATTGCAGTAAAAGCCATATTGCCATTATTCTCCTCAAAATACTCCTCTTGCTTGGAACACACCTATTCACAGAAAGCTCTTGGCACTTTCTGAAGTGATTTGGAAAGTTCTCTTTGTGAGTGCCTTTTGTTATATTGTTGAGGTTGCTTTAATGTCCTGAGTCAGTTTAAAATGTTTACATTTCACGGTCATTTTGACTTTGGGGAAGAACTCGAAATCACACAGTGCCAGATGGTGAAGAAGGTGGATGAGGACACACTAGAATGTTTCTGATGGAGATTGACATAAATAATTGATAAATGAAATGAGATTTAAAAATTTATGGTTAATGTTAAAACTATTGCAATAAAGGACACATTGCTATTTTTTCCTCTTAGTATACTTAAAGTACTCCCCCTCACTATGAACATACTTATCCCATTGTTTTTGGCGGTGTGTCTTTTACTGTCCTATTAAAAAAAAAAGTAAACATTCACTATATTTTTTCAGTCACCCTGTAGTGTAGACAAATGTTCAATAATGTTATTTTTTAAAACATTGAATTAAAATCCTATAAATAAAACATTCTAGCTTAAAAGATTAAAAATTAAAAGCTTTCCTTTGAAGAAGTAGTTCATAGTTGGCACTTGGTGGTGCACATGTAGTATCCCAGCACTTGGGAGACTGAGACAGGAGAATCCCTGTTGAGTTCCAGACCAGCCTAGGCTACATAAATTGACTTCAGGACCACCCCAAACGACATAGTGCAAACCTATCTTTAAAACACAACACAAACAACACAACACAACATAACACAACACCTTGGTTCATAAATGATTTGTGGTACTCAGACCCTCATCAATTTTTTGTGAATTTTAAATTAATCAAAATATGTTAGCTGCACATGGTGGTGCACCCTTTTAATCCTAGCACTGAGGAGGCTGAGGCAGGAGGATTGCTAATGAGTTCAAGGCCAACCTGGGCTGTATAAAAAGTTCAAGCCCAGACTGCACTGCAAAGTGAGATCTTGTCTTTAAAAAGATGAACAGAGTTCAATAGTTTCAGTTTGTGTTGTTTTCTTTTTACCAGATACATAGATAACTGTTGATAATTTAAAATACACTTATAATTTAAGTATTCATTATGGAAATAGTTAAATTACAATTAACTTTTGGTTTTTCATTATCAGTAATAGGAAGAACATGATTTGGGTAAAGAAGCCATGAGTCAAATGTAATGTTAGATTTTATGTGAAATTTCATAGCAGGTTTGCTTTTGTAAATACTCCTTATGCTAAAAAGAAAGTATAAAATTATGAAATGTGAGGATTGCAAGCTAAAAGATAGCTGGTGACGGTGACATAGAAATGTATCTGGAGGTGTAAGAAAAAAATAAATTAGAATTAGAAGTTTTCTGTCAATAGAGATTTGACTATAATGAGAGTTTGATGGATGAGTTTGATATTCCATGAGTAATGTATTTTTTTTGTAAGCTATGAGAATGTTTTAAAACATGATTAAGGAAATAATAAATATTGTCATTTTCTTTTTTTTAGGGTATGAGTATTATAGAACAATTAGATCCTGTATCCTTTAGCAATTACTTGAAGAAATACCATAATACTATATGTGGAAGACATCCCATTGGGGTGTTATTAAATGTAAGTATTCTTAGGAAGCCTTGATTTTTACATTTGATCCTGTCATGTTTCAATATATGTTATCTTTGTGATATGTTGTTATCATTATTTGTTTTGTGTCCAAAATGTCAATTTCCTTCCTGGGATCTTTAATATAATTACAGATTTCTATCGTTCTGGTTATTTTAGTAAATTTATCACTGGAATACAAACTAATATGGAAAATTATATAGAAAACCCTATTTTCTCTTTATTCTCATTCAGTTCTGGTACAGTCCTTAAGTATATAAGTCAAGGTGACTTCTCATGAAATTAATTAAAAAAGAAAAGTAATGGACATTTACCACATTTACTCAATCAGTGTGTTTCATGAAACACTGCTTCTAAGCAATATTAGTAGAGGTCCTGTTGGAAACTTCTCGAGTTAAAAAAGAAAATATTGCATATTTTATCTCTCAAAAAATTGCCATTGCCTGATATGGTAGTGCATGGCTGTAATTCCAGTACTAGAGAGGACTATGTAGGAGGATTGCTGTGAGTTGGAGGCCAGCCTGGGCTGCATGAAATGTTAAAGACCAGCCTGGACTACAGAGCAAGACTGTCTGAAACCTTCCTTGCTTCAAATTACTGCTTTCATTATAATATTAAAGGGAAGACTCTGGTATATTTTGTAATTAATAGAGTTTCTCTGTGTGTGTGTGTGTATGTGTGTGTGTATGTGCGGGTGCAATACCTGTTAGGACTAATTTTCTACTACAAAAGCAGTTTGGAAGACATTTTACCATAGGATTTTGCATTGTTAAAAAATTGGGAATTTGGCTTAGTGGCTCAAGCACTTGCCTGGTATAAGTGCAAGGTTGTGAGTTTGATACCTGATAGGGTGGGGTGGGGGAGGATGACAATTTCTAAAAAAACTTTTTTAGAAAAATAATTTTTTCTAAAGCTCCTGCTCTTGAACTTTAGATGTTCATAACAAGACAGTTGATGTATACATTTTCCTCTTTAAAGCAAAAATGGTAGTATTTCATTTAAAGAATGAAATTAGCTAATTTTCGAAAGAGATAATAATACTAATTTTCCCTTAACAAATAAAACACTGTAGATTTTCTGAAGGAAAATGGAACACTCTTTAAAAATGAAAAGAAGAGGTGTATATTCAGGATGTTTCAGTGGAAAGGTAGAAAAATACATGGAAAAGATAATGGAGTCCAGAATAGTCTAGGGTAGGATACTGGAGTCCAGTTTTCTCATTATGTGATTTTAAAGATAGTATATTGTAGTTTTGGGGAAAGTTTTTCTCTTTTGAGAAGAATGGATTGGCTGAAAGAAAAACCTAATTTCTGAAGCAAGTTAGAATAAATAGGTACAATTTCCTAAAGCTGAAATTGAATAAAAGAAAGTTTTTATAAATGATGAGCCTTTACAGTCAGAGTAAAAACCCTAGCATACTTCTTAGGTGTGGAACTCAAATGGTATATTCATTTCAAATTTAGTTACCAAGAAAAGATTTCAACATATGAAGAGAAGAGTGGCCATGGTTTGATTGAGAAAATTGAGAGAAATTATTATGGATTTTCAAAAAGCAGTTTTATTAATTACAGGGAGTGGTAGGAGGGATGATGACTGTTTAAATAGCAAGAAGGTAGATTAAGAGCTCTTTGAAAAAATGAAGTGAGGGTTTTTCTTTTTCCGCAGTGTATTATGAGGCAACAGAGAAATGCAAGACACAAAGTGAAAGAATTCTTGGCCTTAGTTGTCAAGTAGGCAAAGCCAGACTACCGATGTGTTCACACTGCTTTTCTCTATGACGTCTGTTATAACCACGTTTTTTTTTTTTTTTTTTTTTTTTTTCCCTAGGCTATTACAGAGCTCCAGAAGAATGGAATGAATATGAGCTTTTCCTTTTTGAATTATGCCCAGTCAAGCCAGTGTAGAAACTGGCAAGACAGCTCAGTGAGTTATGCAGCGGGAGCCCTCACGGTCCACTGAAGCTCGAATCCTCAGGGAGGCCACCTGCACATACTCATACTCTGCCCAGGGTCCCAGCCTAGCCTTTACCAGACGCTGGTTCTGGTTTGGGGGGATTCTGAAACCTCAGACTAATAGAACTTTCTTCTCTTCTTTTCTAGTAGGTGTAGTCCTCCTTAATTTCAACTCATTAAAAAATGCTTTATAGTTTTGGGTGGTTGGAAGGCAGGTTGGGATCAAAAATATTTTGATTAAAAACAGCAATGTAAAGGCCCAGTTGTGGCAGACAGTTTTTTGAAAGTAACTTGTAAAGCATTTACCATATCCTAAATTTGCACTCTTTGCAGACTTGTGCACATATATCCCGCTTTCAGAATAGTTTTGCAAATTGTACACAAACAAAAAAAGGGTGGAAGCTTTTTAATAAAGAAATTGCATTTATAAATGATCTGTATTAGAATATAATAAATCTCAAGTTATAGACAATTACTACCCGTGTTGTACAACAGATACCTTCTATTTTAGTTGCTAATAAAGGGCTACACAACTCATAATAGTCTGATTTAAACTTATTGCTCTGTGGTATATTTGAAAATTGTTTTTTATTCTATCTCAGAATTTTTGTTAAAAATGGCAAGCCTCAGTTCTTACATAAAAGTATATAAGGTTGTATTTTATATTTTACATATTTATCTGATTTTTTAATTACAGAAATATAACAATAACTTTAATGTTAACTTTTAAAACTACACTCATTTGCCTTTTTGTGTGTGACATCCCTTCATGTCATTACTATCTTATAGAATATGAATTCAAGATTGGTAAAAGAACATTGATGTTCTCTTCAAAGATGTTTGATAGTCTGCAAATGAGGAAATATTGAAGAGTATTCTCAGTGTTTTTCAAATCATTGCAGACCGTATACTGCTAGGCTTTTTTGGTGCTTTAAGCAATTTGACTCTTTTACTTGAATTTTTAGGAAGAAATCATTAGTATCAACAACAACAACAACAAAAACTGCTGGGTTTCTTCCAATTCTACAGTTTTTCTCTCATGTTATTTGGTGCGGCTCTTCCAGCTAAAATAATGGTATGGTGTTGTATTATTTCCTTCTGTAACGTCACCCAAAATTCTGGTCACTGTGACCTTCTCCCCCCCCCCCCCCCAAAAAAAAATTCAGTCAGTTAATTATTTAGCCACTATGTATGTTTTCAGTTTTTACCAATTTTATTGTAGTACTGGAATGGGTACCTATATTACATTGGGAAATATTTATATATCTTCAGTGTTAAGCCAAGTAGCACAATTTTTAGACACCTTGCATCAATTTTATTTAAAGATTTGCATTTCTTTTTTATTAAATGCTGTATCAACTTTCCATAAGCAAAAATGTGGTAAAATAATACTACCTTTTGGATTCACATTTGCCTGTGTGTGTGCGTGTGTGTGTATAAATTATACTCTTTGACATTAGTGGCTTATTTCCCATTATTTCGATGTACTTTTGAGTAATACAAATATTTATTTCTTATTTAACACAGCCTAGAAATTTCTCAATTGGCTTTAGTGAATTCTTAAAATAGTCTTTTCTGATTATAAAAGTTATCACGTGAGTATTATGGGAAATTTGAAAAATATTGAAAATTTTTTTAAGAACAAAAATCTCAGCAAAGAAATAACATTGTTAATATTTTTCTGTATTTCTTTTTGGTTGTTATCTCTGCTATTCATACATATATGTATGTATGAATGTTTGTATGTGTGTGTAATAACAAAGTTATTATACCAACCATATAGTTGTATATCCTGTTTTTTATAACATAGTATCTTAAGTCCCTATCCATCACATTGAAAATGTGACTTTTTAAAGTAGATGCCTACTATTCTGTGGTATTGTATGAAAATATTATAATTTAACCAGTTTTCTTTATGGATGTTTCTAATCTTGCACAATTTTATAATGGGATGAACATCCTTATATGTATGTAAAATTTGAACTCTGTGTTAAACTTCTCTAAGATACAGCAATGGAAATGGAATAAGTGGTTTGCATGATGAGAATTTCTTAGACTTTTCCCAAATTACCCTTCAGAATGATTGTTCCAAATGAGGAATGTTAAGTATCTATCATACTGCCTGTTTACCAACATCCTATTTTTAATCTTTGGCAATTTGTTAATCATTTAATTTTTGATCTTTTAAAAAAAGAGCTGCTTTCTAATTGATCATTTATTGTCCTGTAATTTCATAATTGACTTACTTTAAAAAAAATCAAGGACTTTCTAGGTTGGTTGGACTGTAGTCCTAGGCATATGTCATACTGCATTATGAAAACTAGAATGTCTCAGCAGCACTGCACCCTTTCATACCAGGTGGACCTGTCTTTTAGTAGAAGGAATTTCATGAGGAGACTTGAGTGTTGAGTTTTAGTTCTGGCTCTGCTAGTAGTTGGTTACCTGAATTTAAATGTTTCACATCAAATTGAAACTTTCTCACCTGAACATGGAAGTAGTATCTTAAATACTTTCAGGTCTCAAAATACTTTGAAGTGGTGAGTTTTTAAAAATAGTTTCTGGTGTTGCTTATGCTAATTCCTACATGATTAAATTAGATTAGAGGTATTTTATTTCTACTCTATATGCATGCAAATCAAAATCTTGCTGTTTAACATAAAGGAAGTTAATAAATCACCTTATTTAATGGAGTTGGTATTACATAAGTTGTTGAATTTAAGCTTTCCTATTTTGAGTGCCTTTAAAATTTTGTATTTGGAATCTAAAATGGAAAGGAAATTTTTATGTAGTCTGTAAAATTGCTTCATTATTATATTCTTCTGAATTATTTGCAGCAACTTTCATTTTTTACCTTAGATTATGCAAGCAGAATATTCATGTATTCTTCACTGTCTTTTAGTGAGTCCTTGAGAAACTTATGATAAAGATTAGCTCAGTGAGTAGGTAAGTGTGTGCTCTGTTGTGGGTGAACAGCAAGTCTTTATACAGAACAGGATAAAGGACTAGCCAGAATGGTTGATTTCCTCATCTACTGGCCACTGGTAAAGGTCTTGAATTTTGCTTTGGTAGCAAATTCCCCCTAGATTAGGGGTTGGCAAATGTTTTCTGTGAAGGAATAAGTACTTTGGGTTTCACAGGTCATACGGTTTCTAGTCCCAACTCTTCTCCTTTGCCATTGTAGCCCTGAAGCAGGGATAGACAATGTATAATCAATTAATGTGAATATGTTTTTATAAAACTTTTTTACACAAAGACGATGCACTGGATTTGATCTGCAGACCCTAATTTCCTGTCTCTTACCTAGATGGTATATATTCCTTGTAGTTCACAGTTGGCTAAAATTAATCTAAACTTCCATTCTGATCCTCCCTTAGTTTCACATACTCTTATATAATTGGCTGGTTTAAATACTATTTATGGTCATAACTTTAGGAAGTAAGGAAAAGCAGAAAATTAGGAATTAGTGTTAAAGTACGCTAGTCCTTTTATTTGCTGAGAGCTGTTGAATTTACATTGCTTTCATTGCTTACATTAATCAAAAGTGTTGATCAATGTAGGTTGTGATAGGTTGCTGTAAATTCTAATTATTATTATTATTACATTTTGGTACTGGTGATTGAACCTAGTACCTTGTGCATACTAAGTACATGCAGTGTCACTAAGCTGCATCTCAGCTTGTTGCAAATTCTTTAAATTATTCTCAGTGCTTGGCTATCTAAATAATGATAAGCTTTACCTGAGTATTTCAGAATAATAGACTATTATTTTAAAGAATTTTATGAAATATGGGAGGTTTCATTTTGCTATGCAGAGACTTTTGGAAAAATAACTACCATCTTCTATAATCATCATTTAATTTCAAAAATGATCCCCCAAATATCAAAGAAGTATTTAAATTCAATAATGGAAAATAATTTAACATTGATGAAAAATTACTGTAGTGTTACTTTTTATTGGAGATTACAGAATGCCTCATTGAGTAGAAGTGTCAGTCGAAAGCTGGCATGGGGAAGTAGTGTGATACAGTTGCAGACAGAGAGATGCAGTTGTAAAACTTACTGATCAGTACTATTCAGATTAAAATTTGTATGTTGCTGTGTTAAATTGTACATGACGCATAGTAAGAGGCGTATCATGAACTAACCGATGTGACAGGAGGAACGTGCCTCACAGTGGTGATGAAAGACATGTGGAGATGGAGAGTGGGATGTGTTTGAAGAAAATGATCTTTATTTTGGAGAAGATAAATTTAAGGAGGGGGAATTTTCTTCACATATCTGAATGACTATCATAAGTAAGGAATAGAATTGTTCTGTTGTTTCTTGGTAGGAAAATTAGAAACAGTTTCTGCTTCCATATTTAATGTACTATATTAGAATTTCTCATAATGAAAATTGGCTCTGTCCTCAAAATTATGGGAGGTATTCAAACAAAAGCTTCATGAGTGATTCTCAAAGTACCTAAACTATCAGCATTGCTATCACCTGTAGATATTTTGTAATTTCATATATAATTATAATAATTATAGATCACCAAGCTTAAGCTAACAAATTGAACTTATTTCACTCGTATGAAACTGTTTAAAGTATTTTCAAATCATAATTGATTTTGATCACTTGATACTAACTTTATACACATTATAAATTGGTAACATGATATTGCTTAGTCATTGGTGATGGAACCTCAGAATACTTTGTTAGAACATTTAAGCATAAAGTTCTATTTCCTAATATAAAATTTAAGTTGATCTTTGAATAAGTAGCTAGTTCCTAGACCAGAGGTACTTCTTCAGTCTAAAAGATACCGGTAGCTGAAAAAATTACTGCATTGAGAGTGCTTGCTGTTTTTGTATCTATTGATGTCAGAATATTAGAAGGGAAACAGGACACAACTGGTAGGTAAGAATTTTTCCTCTCATCTTGCATTATTATAGCACCTACCTATAAAATAACTGAGTAGCAAGGCATGCTGTCATCGATGATTATGCTGTACATTTTATAATGGTTCCCTCAGGTAATGCTGATGACTGAGATTATTGCCTCCTTCAGGTTGCTGTTGTGGATGAATTATTTTTTTTGCCCATGGTGTCTTCATGAGTTCGTTAGTACTATGTGAAGAACTTGAGTGTTTAGATTTTCCATTTATTCCAGAGTTCTCTGATGATTCCAGAGCAGTTTGTATTTATGTATTATGTTACTCTGTGTGTGTTTGTGTGTATGTACAGGTGTGCATGCATGCATGCACGTACACGTTTATTTAATTCTAACACAAGATTTTGGCTATTAGCATATAAGAATAATGGAGAAAAATAAAAGCCAGTTCTTCTTATTTGGAAGCTACGATGTGATGCATTTAGTTTTTCTTTCTTTCTTTTTCTTTGGTACTGGGAATTGAACTCAGGCCCTCACACTGGCCAGGCAGGTGCTGTGCCACTGAGTTACTATGTCCTCAGTCCCAGTTAGTTTTTCTTATGTTGTAAATTATGTTTAAATGCACGTTTTGTGTTTTAAAGTATGGTTTGACTTTATATGATATAGTCA